AGGCCTAATTCACACGAGAGCTTTTTTAACGTCCGTTAAAAAAGCGTTCAAATAGAACATATGCATACCCAAGTACGTGTTCACACGTCGGCGCTTTTAAAACGCGACGCTTTTTTATCGAGCAGTGTTGCATTTTCAACGCAGAGCGTTGGAAATAGGCTTGGGTATGCATATTATGTTCTATTTGAACGCTTTTTTAACGGACGTTAAAAAAGCTCTCGTGTGAATTAGGCCTTAGAGTATTATTTAACTATTTTTAACATTTCTAAGATCGTCATTATGGCTTATGAAATAGGTTCGTTTGTTTCAGCCAAATGACCTCCACTGCTGGACAAAGGTTTTGCCCGAGGACTTCCACAACGACCGGTCCTGTTTCGTATCGAAATAAGTACTAGTTTACAATTAAGTGGACACCATGTTTGAATAAACTGTAATTCTTTTTCATAGGAGGGGAACTACCACCACCATCGCTACTTCGGAACAAGATCATTATCAAGAATAAGAAAAAACACCACCACCATCATAAAAAGGAAGACTCCATCGCGTCGGAAGAAAGCGAGCCCCAACCAGAACCGCCTCAAGGCAATGGAGAGATATCGCATGGGACGGTAGGTGTCTTCTCTAACTAATGTAGTTTAACCACAGAATAATAATAAGTACTACGTACAGAAGGTTTACTTCGCGAAGGTATTTAAAAAAATGTATGCTCAATATCATTAACAATATGGTGTAATTTAGCTTGTCTCAAGAGTCAAGCACCATTTTGTTGACAAACGTCAGTGATCGGTACTGCGCTGAAGTCATAGGGCTGACTTGGGTAAAATGATGTGACGTGAGGTGCCAATCTGCAGAAAAAATGGCGGAGGAAATACATGATTAAGCATGAATTATCATGAATAATATTAACCACTTATTTACCTCTCAGTATTTTCAGACAACTTATAAAAAGTACATTCTGTGTTTTTATTAATATTTAGGCAGTTAATATTTAGTACACCATTTTCTTTATTTTTTTCCATCATACACAAGCATACGCGTGCGTGAGTCAATGCTCGCTCGTATGTGAGGCCTTTTCGAATGGTAATCCTGTAGGGTGCCATCGTGCTTGTTTTGTTTTCGATTTAAACTCGCGGAGATGAACAGGCCTGGTTTAACCTACTTGAAAGTAATCCAAAACAGAAAACTTATATCAGTCTGATCTCTTTGTTTACCAAGAAAGCTATGATGAAATATATTTTGTCTAGATTGAAAGCAATCTAGTTTAATTCATCTCATAAAATACATCTGCAGTAGCCCTTGCGGTCATATTAAATCAAATATTTATTTGCTCACGAACATGTTTTACTGATCAACATAGCCTATTCATTAAAAAATTACATCTGTCTGACACTGCTGCACCATTTTTCAAAAGGTCCTATGGTCCTTTTTTTGTACAGCACCTACAAGTTTTAACGGAACCCTCGGTGCGCGAGTCTGACTCGCACTTGGCTAGTTTTATTCTGGACATATCCCAAAAAACGCGAACAAAAGCAACATAGTAAAACAAAGAAAAGTAGAAACTGGTAATCGTTCTTTTTGTATACAGTTGGCGCGACAAGGCTCCAAGGATTCCTCGTCGTCGTCCGACTCGGACAGTTCGTCGGGGGAGGAGGAAGCGGGGGGAGGGGAAGCAGATGAACCACGGGAGACGCACGCGGGCGCTGAGATATCAGCGCTCGTTAACTACGTGCAGCCCGTGCACTTTAGCTCCTTCGAGAGTGCCGAGAGTGAGTACCAGTGCTAAGACTAGTGCATCCCAAACTAGTCCATATTGCAAGCGTCATAAGGAACAAAGCCGAGCGAGACGCATGCGGGCGCAGAGATATCCGCGCTCGTGAACTACGTGCAGCCCGTGCACTTTAGCTCCTTCGAGAGTGCCGAGAGTGAGTACCAGTGCTAAGACTAGTGCATCCCAAACTAGTCCATATTGCGAGCGTCATAAGGAACAAAGCCAAGCGAGACGCATGCGGGCGCTGAGATATCCGCGCTCGTGAACTATGTGCAGCCCGTGCATTTTAGCTCCTTTGAGAGTGCCGAGAGTGAGTACCAGTGCTAAGACTAGTGCGTCATAAGGACCAACTTGGCGAGCCTCGGGAGACGCACGCGGGCGCAGAGATATCCGCGCTCGTGAACTATGTGCAGCCCGTGCACTTTAGCTCCTTCGAGAGCGCCGAGAGTGAGTATCAGTGCTACGACTAGTGCATCCCAAACTAGTCCATATTGCGAGCGTCATAAGGAACAATTGGTGAGCTCGCTAACTAAGTGCAGCCCGTGCATTTTAGCTCCTTTGAGAGTGCCGAGAGTGAGTACCAGTGCTAAGACTAGTGCATCCCAAACTAGTCCATATTGCGAGCGTCATAAGGAACAATTCGTCAGCCAACCGAGACGCACGCGGTCGCAGAGATATCCGCGCTCGTGAACTACGTGCAGCCCGTGCACTTTAGCTCCTTCGAGAGTGCCGAGAGTGAGTACCAGTGCTACGACTAGTGCGTCCCAAACTAGTCCATATTGCGAGCGTCATAAGGAACAATTCGTCAGCCAACCGAGACGCACGCGGGCGCTGAGATATCCGCGCTAGTTAACTACGTGCAGCCCGTGCACTTTAGCTCCTTCGAGAGTGCCGAGAGTGAGTACCAGTGCTAAGACTAGTGCATCCCAAACTAGTCCATATTGCGAGCGTCATAAGGAACAATTGGTGAGCTCGTTAACTACGTGCAGCCCGTGCACTTTAGCTCCTTCGAGAGTGCCGAGAGTGAGTACCAGTGCTAAGATTAGTGCATCCTAAACTAGTCTATATTGCGAGCGTCATAAGGACCAACTTGGCGAGCCTCGGAAGACGCACACGGGCGCAGAAATATCTGCGCTCGTTAACTACGTGCAGCCCGTGCACTTTAGCTCCTTCGAGAGTGCCGAGAGTGAGTACTAGTGCTAAGACTAGTGCATCCCAAACTAGTCCATATTGCGAGCGTCACAAGGAACAACTTGGCGAGTCGTGTAAGACGCGCTGCTTTTAGACTACTTTTTTCAATTACAATTCGAACAAAAATCGAAATGGCAATGCCAGATTTTGTATGGAAGGTGGCGTCTTTTTTTTTTCGCGCGGCCATCGACCATACTTTGTTTTTTGATTACAAAATAGTGTAATAAACCAAACTTACTATGACATGTATACCTCTAAACTCAGTCTGAACTGAGTTACGAGCATTAGAAGTTTAATTATTTTCATACTAGATTTCCTTTTTGCGCGCAAGTTTTGTAAGAAATTGCAACAAAATATTGCGCTATTTTTTTATTGCGCTGATTCTGCTGCATACTGATGTCTGGAGCCTTTAATGGATGGTATTGTTTGTTTACACATACAATGTCATTATTTTGTTGCAATTTCTTACAAAACTTGCGCCCAAACAGCAAATCTAGTATGAAAAACATNGTTCCTGGTCAGGCTATACATAATTAATCAAAGGATATGTATTTTTATGTGATCAGAAATATTTAGGGGAATATCTAAAGAGAGAGAAATAATATAAGAGCACACCGTTTCGTTTACATACGTCAGTGATCGGTACTGTGCCGATGCCTGACTACTACAAGAAGCTACTAGGTCGCCATCTAGCGCACCACACGCGTATTTTTTGAACGTCACTCACTGCTTGCTCGTGATCCCTTGTGGATCAAATCCGTGTTTTGTTTTCGATGCCTACTCGGGGAGATTAATGGTGCTAATGCTCTTATGGTGGTTTTTCCCAGGTGGTGCTGCCGGAGCTGGCGATGCTGCGGATCGCGGCTCACGAGGAGAGCGGGCGGCTGGTGGGGCACCGCGTGCTGCCCGTGGTGGGGCTGTGCCCCGGCTACCGCCACGTCAACCTGCGGACAGAGCTGGGTCTACCGCTGCCGGCTAGCCTGCTGCTTCTGGTCGTTGTCAAGGTAACCGCTTAATGCCGCGGGAGTATAGGGAGAATAAAAATGGAGGGAAGTCGAACCTTAACTTCGAACTCCTCCTATGTTCTTCTGATTAATTTCGTTGCGGGTCCAATGACAGTTTCACTTTCCCCCGGGACAAACATGACCTTCACTGGTTGTGTTTTTATTGGCGGTCAAGCTGTAGATCCTTGCTACACAAGAGTTGCAGCGGCGGGAACGAGATGTGGGAATAGTCCCGTTAGCCTGCTGCTGCTGGTGGTGGTCAAGTTAAGAGAGAGGAGGAGAGAGGTAGAGAGATGCTACACGCGCAACGTCAACGTCCATGTGGCAACTGGCTCTCTCTCTTAGGCCCGCCATACACGGACAGCTCGAGCAGTTAGTCAGTGATCAACATACACGGACCGCTCTTGCAGTCAAGAGTCAACAGCTTGAAGCAGCCAGTGATAACTGCTCGAGCAGTTGTTATTAACTGCTCAACAAATCACAAGCGCGCGCGCCGTGGAATGAAGAAAGTGGGTGGAGGTAACTGCGCGAGAGCTGTCGACAGCTCGAGCAGTCAGTGTATGACTGGCGACTGCTTGACCGCACGATGAAAATTCACCGTGCTGTCGACCGCCCGAATCAGTTGCAACTGCTCGAGCGGTTCGTGTATGTGCGTCCATAGAACTCTGCAGTTCACTGTGCAGTGGCAGCTTGAAGCTGTCGACCCTGAATGCTTCAAGCGGTCCGTGTATTGCCGGGCTTACTGGCACTGGAGCCGTCAGTTGGCTGGTAAGAATATGTAGTCTCTGCTCAATAACGCCACGTCAATCTGCGCGCCGAGCTGGGTCTGCCGCTGCCGGCTAGCTTGCTGCTACTGGTGGTGGTCAAGGTACGTAGTTACTGCTTCTGCAGCCGAAGTTGACTAATGGAAAGACGAATCTGCTCATAAACTCTTCAATCTCTGCTATCGATTTTATTCCGAATTTATATAATTATTTATATAAGGCACAGCTACAGAGAACAAACAATAACAATACAATTAACACAACAATATAGCACAGTATTAAGTCTGAACTCCATATCATTTCGTGTCCGATTTATATTTTTCCAGTATAAAAGTGATATTAATATTTTTTTCTTCCTGCAGGACTACGTTCCCGACCGGCTTTCTGAGTTGGCGGAGGCGCTGGCCAACCCCATCAAGTACCAGAGCGAGTTGGACAAACGCGAGCACCAACTGGCTGTGCTTACTGAAGGCACCGACGCGCCGCCGCCCGCGCAGCCGCCGCGGCCTGAAGCTCCGCACATTGTGACGCACCCTGTGAGTGACAACTTTACACCCTACTCAAGTAAACAAAAGGCTCATTATTGTAGCGCCGCCGCCTGCGCAGCCGCCGCGACCTGCATATTGTAGCACCCCGTGAGTGACGACTGTACACTCTACTGTAGTAGATAGAAGGTTCATTATTGTAGCACCGGCTGACTTGTACGCCGAGGGCACTAACGTGCGGCCGCCGCGGCCTGAAGCTCCGCACATTGTGACGCACCCTGTGAGTGACGATTGTACACCTTACTGCAGTGGACATAAGGATCATTATTGTAGCACCAGCTGGCTGTGCTCACTGAAGACACCGACGCGCCGCCGCCCGCGCAGCCGCCGCGGCCTGAAGCTCCGCACATTGTGACGCATCCTGTGAGTGACGATTGTACACCTTACTGCAGTGGACAGAAGGTTTAATATTGTAACACCACTCTGCCGCCACGTGCCCAATGTGTGAGGTGACGACTGCACTCTACTATAGTAGACAGAAGGCTCATTATTATAGCACCAGTTAGTCTGCTTACCAAGGGTATTGACGCGTCGCCGCCCGCGCAGCCGCCGCGTCCCGAAGCTCCGCACATTGTGACGCACCCTGTGAGTGACGATTGTACACCTTACTGCGGTATACAGAAGGTTTAATATTGTAGCACCACTCTGCCGCCACGTGCCCAATGTGTGAGGTGACGACTGCACTCTACTATAGTAGANACCAGCTGCGGGGGCAGCTAGTGGGTTATGTGGGGTTCTTCCTACCAGAAGGTGGGTAGCCCCTACACCCACTAAAAACCTGACTGTTTCTGCCATGATCCATATGAGAGTATATATTATATTATTGACTCAGACATGGTAGTGATGTATGGCAAGGATTACAAGGGCAGCGTATTAACTATTAATTAGACTAATTAATAATAGAATAATGAAACATCACATGGTTTAACTGTGCCTGTATTCGATTTCGGGTGTGAAAATATTTTCGATTTTATCTTGATAATGAGTTTGGTACTCATAAAATATGTACTTCGTGCAGAAAGTTTTCTTCGCGTAGGTATTTAAAAATGTCAATTCAATGTCGTCAACAATATGGTGTCTTAGATATGAGCACCGTTTCGATTACATAGTCAGTGATCCGTACTGGAAGACGTAGCGTGGGCAGGCCTCCTACTAGGTGGACCGACGATCTGGTAAAGGTCGCGGGAAGAGCCTGGATGCGGGCAGCGCAGGACCGTTCATTGTGGAAAACCTTGGGGGAGGCCTTTGTCCAGCAGTGGACGTCATTTGGCTGAAACGAACGATCCGTATTGTGACGATGCGATAGGCCTGATACTACAAGAAGCAACTGTGTCGCCACCTAGCTGACCGCACGCGTATTTTATCTTCTTTAAATAGCGAATTTTTTTTCAATGGGTGATGAATACGCGCGCGAACTTCACACACTCGGCGTGTTTTAGATTCGCGCTGACCGCACGCTGATCGTCGGCGCTGAGTGACAGATCAATATGTATTTAATTGAAGGGAACGTTCCTGAGTGACGCTGATTGCTCGGCGCCGACGCTTCATACATTTCGGCTGTCAGCGCTGACGGTCAGCGTGACTCTAAAACCAGCCTACTCGCTCGTGAATCCCTTGTGGATCAAATCCGTGTTTTGTTTTCGATGCCTACTCGGGGAGATTAATGGGTCTGCTGCTGGTTCTTCCCAGGTGGTGCTCCCGGAGCTGGCGATGCTGCGGATCGCGGCTCACGAGGAGAGCGGGCGGCTGGTGGGGCACCGCGTGCTGCCCGTGGTGGGGCTGTGCCCCGGATACCGCCACGTCAACCTGCGGACAGAGCTGGGTCTACCGCTGCCGGCTAGCTTGCTGCTTCTGGTGGTGGTCAAGGTGAGAGAGAGCAGGAGAGAGGTAGAGAAATGCTACACGCGCAACGGCAACGTCCATGTATCAACTGGCATCTCTCTTAGGCCCGCCATACACGGACAGCTCGAGCAGTTAGTCAGTGATCAACATACACGGACCGCTCTTGCAGTCAAGAGTCAACAGCTTGAAGCTGCCAGTGATAACTGCTCAACAAATCACTAGCGCGCGCGCCGTGGAATGAAGAAAGTGGGCGGAGGTAATTGCGCGAGAGCTGTCAGTGTATGGCTGGCGACTGCTTGACCGCACGATGAAAATTCACCGTGCTGTCGACCGCCCGAATCAGTTGCAACTGCTCGAGCGGTTCGTGTATGTGCGTCCATAGAACTCTGCAGTTCACTGTGCAGTCGCAGCTTGAAGCTGTCGACCCTGAATGCTTCAAGCGGTCCGTGTATTGCCGGCCTTACTGGCACTGGAGCCGTCAGTTGGCTGGTAAGAACATGTAGTCTCTGCTCAATAACGCCACGTCAACTTGCGCGCCGAGGTGGGTCTGCCGCTGCCGACCAGCCTGCTGCTGCTGGTGGTTGTCAAGGTGAGAGAGAGGTAGAGAAATGCTACACGAGCGTTGGCGTTGCGGCAACGCCCGTGTGTCAATAACGCCACGTCAATCTGCGCACCGAGCTGGGTCTGCCGCTGCCGACTAGCCTGCTGCTTCAAGGTACGCGCTTAGAGAGATGCTATAATGATTATAATGACATTGGGTGCCACACGAGCTCTGCGTTACAGCTGCGTCACAACTGCGTCTCTCCTCTGCTACCCCTCTCCTCTCTGTCTTGAAAAGTTACGCGGCAGTTGCGATAACGCAGCGCACCGTCATATCCTGTCGCTGCAGCCGTCAGTTGGCTGATGAGAACAAGTAGTCTATGTTTAAGAACTCCACGTCAACTTGCACACCGCGATAGGTCTGCCACTGCAGGCTAGCTTGCTGCTATTGCCTATTGGTGGTATTCAAAGTGTGTAGTTACTGCTACTGCAGCCGAAGTTGACTAATGGAAAGACGAATCTGCTCATAAACTCTTCAACGTCCATGTGGCAATATAAGGCACAGCTACAGAGAACAAACAATAAAAATACAATTAACACAACATAGTATGATAGAACACAGTATTAAGTCTGAACTCCATATCATTTCGTGTCCGATTTATATTTTTCCAGTATAAAAGTGATATTAATATTTTTTTCTTCCTGCAGGACTACGTTCCCGACCGGCTTTCTGAGTTGGCGGAGGCGTTGGCCAACCCCATCAAGTACCAGAGCGAGTTGGACAAACGCGAGCACCAACTGGCTGTGCTTACTGAAGGCACCGACGCGCCGCCGCCCGCGCAGCCGCCGCGGCCTGAAGCTCCGCACATTGTGACGCACCCTGTGAGTCACGATTGTACACCTTACTGCAGTAGACAGAAGGCTCATTATTGTAGCGCAGCCGCCGCGGCCTGAGCGCCTGCATATTGTAGCACCCTGTGAGTGACGATTGTACGTACACCTTACTGCAGTGGACATAAGGATCATTATTGTAGCACCAGCTGGCCGTGCTCACTGAAGGCACCGACGCGCCGCCGCCCGCGCAGCCGCCGCGGCCTGAAGCTCCGCACATTGTGACGCACCCTGTGAGTCACGATTGTATACCTTACTGCAGTAGACATAAGGTTTAATATTGTAGCACCACTCTGCCGCCACGTGCCCAATGTGTGAGGTGACGACTGCACTCTATTATAGTAGACATAAGGCTCATTATTATAGCACCAGTTAGTCGGTTTACCGAGGGCATTGACGCGTAGCTGCCCGCGCAGCCGCCGCGGCCCGAGGCTCCGCACATTGTAACGCACCATGTGAGTGACGATTGTACACCTTACTGCAGTAGACAGAAGGCTCATTATTGTAGCGCAGCCGCCGCGGCCTGAAGCTCCGCACATTGTGACGCACCCTGTGAGTCACGATTGTACACCTTACTGCAGTAGACAGAAGGTTTAATATTGTAGCACCACTCTGCCGACACGTGCCTAATGTGGTGCACCCATTGAGTGACGACTGCACTCTACTGTAGTAGATAGAAGGTTCATTATTGTAGCACCAACTGGCCGTTGAAGGCACCGATGCGCCGCCGCCCGCGCAACCGCCGCGTCCTGAAGCTCCGCCACAGAGCATGGAGTGGCGATTCCATGCTCTGTGGGCTCCGCACATTGTGGCGCACCCTGTGAGTGACGATTTTAAACCCTCCTGCAGTAGACAGAAGGCTCATTCTTGTAGTACCAGCTGGCTTGCTCACCGAGCTAGATTAGTGATGTTTGACTTGAGTTTGGAATCATTTGTCAATTATTTTTATCAGATCAAACAAGAGAGCACGACAGATGGCAGTCCGAGCAAGTCGTCTCTCATCATGGCGGAGACCAAGAAACTGATCGAATGCGAGGCGCTCGCATCCGTGCCGCCTGCAGACAAGGAAGCACAAGGTATTGAACTTTCCTTGATTAAAGATTGATTAAATGATGATGATCGCTGTCCGCTTTGCGTGAAATGACATTTTTTTTTTTTACTTTTGCACTCAACCTGGGTAATATGTACTTAACCTGGATAATATGCGCGTACGAGTAAAATTTAAAATATCTGAGATCAGAAAAGTTGTAAGGTTTTAGTTCCAACCACTGATGCTTATTTGTAGACGGGTCCTATTAAATCTGAAACATTTTAATTAATATACGAAAACTAATCACTTTTTAGATGTAATAAAGTGCCTAGAAAAAAATTAATAATCCTATATCAACTTTATTATTTCCCAGACCAATCAGATAACAAATCCAACGGCGGCTCAGACGAGTCGCTAGCTGAAACGCTCGAAGCGCTTCTTTCGAGCGAATTAGTTCGAAAGAAGCGCGCGGAACTCTCACGCAAGCTAGACGCGCTACGGCGGAAGCAAGACAAGGAAAAACGGCCAGTCTCAGCTAAATTCTACGTCAGCAACAAACTAGTCAAGAAGCTCTCTTCTAAGAATATGTAAGTTGATTCTCAAGTCACCACTCAAGTGTCCTCACGACGATAACGAAAGAGAGTAAGCGCACTCGTAAGTTTAGGATTTCTTCTTTTTTCTTTCAGAAAGTTTCTCCTGTCCAGTGATAGGTAATACTTGGTGCCTTATTTTTTCGTTCTTGATACATAACTTCTACAGGTGTGGCGTGTTGTACGACTAACGACTGTGTGACTTTAACCAGACTTAATTCTTTTGCAATTTGACAGCGTGTGACTAGGCATGTTTTTTGTTAGCATTCCATAGGACTTCGACATTACTGAAATTGTGGACTTACCATCTGTTTTTTGTCTATAACTATAGCACGGAGGCCAAGTGCCATTTGTAAAGCATTTTAACAGCGTGTGACTAGGCATGTTATTTTCGTTAGCACTTCACAGGATTTAGAACCTTAAGTATTGGACTTACCGTCTGTTTTGTTACACAGCTATAGTAGCACAGAAGCCAGTACGAGCGAGGAGCCGACCGGCGCTGGAACCGTGACGGAAGGTAGCGTAGAGCGCGAGTTACGCTTGCGTTACCACCATACCATCTTCGCCGCGCTCGAGAAGCAGCTACGGTCCGACCAGCATCACCAGATGAAGGCGCTTACGGTCAGTGACCTTACACAACACACGCTACATCATTAGCAACACACGCTACATCATCAGTAACACACTCTACATCACTAGTGGTACACGCTACAATACCAGTGACACACGCTACATCACCAGTGACACACGCTACATCACCAGTGACACACGCTACATCACCAGTGACACACGCTACATCACTAGAATCTACATCTACATCATAATCTACATCATAAATAAAACGCAATGCATCTTTAGGGAGACACGCTTTAGTGAGCACATACGCTACATTATCAGTAACACACGATACATCATCATAAATAGACGCCATACAAACAGCATAACACGCTATGAACATCACATGTATCACTGTACCACCAGCTACGCACTATACCATCACTACTCTAAACAATATCACAACAAAATATTAAGAATACAACTTTTTCTTTATTGTTTTTTCGATTCTATTATAATCATTTAAAAAAAAATTAAATCTTTGATTAATGTTTCAGGATCTACTGGAAGTTGAAAAGAAGGAAATTTTAAACCGACTAGCAAATTCACGGAAGGAGGATGTCAAAGCGTTAGCGAAAAAGACCAATAGAGACAAGGATGAAATATTAAGGATAAAGAGAGAAATACATTCTCAGGTAAGGCGATAGTTATTTACTGAGTGAATTCTTGTAAGGTATAGCACAGGTCATTTGCAACCAACCAATCTTTATGTATATCACTAGGCAAAAGTCAACCATTGGTGAGATATTTTCATTAACATTATTTTTTTTGAAAATACTTCAGCGACCACACATTTCACACCGCACACTTAAAATCCTAAGCGACAGAGTTGTTTTATGGAAGCTCAATAGCAGTCGCTAAAACGCGCGATTCCGATACCGCGTCCGAACACATGAAGTCGCGAAACCGCGGCGTTAATATTGTCGCAAAATCGCCGATCGCCGATGCTTAATAATTTTAGCATAATGCTAATGCATGTCTACTGTGGCCCTCTGTAGCCTCTTAGGCGCGGTTTCCACCAAGGCGGAGCGGAGTGAAGGAAAAAACCAATCAGATTAAATTCTGTCAATTTCATTCAATCTGAATGAAAACAGAGGTGGAATTGTGTAAAGCAATCGTAACCATTTGACAGTTTATAACGATACGATAAAGTCAGCAAAACAAAGCGTTTGACAGAATAATCGTACGTTATGAAGTGTCAAATGATTACGTACGATTGCTTTACACAATTCCACATCTAATTGGTTATTCAGAACATTTTTCTGCTTCTTCTTGGTAGAAACCGGGTCTTAAGACATCCACGGGAATATCCTACCCACCCCAATATCCCACCGCCGCTCCACTATTGTGGTGAGCCCACTCGTAACACAAGCTTATTTAGCTTAACACGAAGGGCTAACGGGACTATTAGTAATTTGTGCAATATAATTCGTTACAAAAAGGTAACCTTTATGATGTCGTCGGTCCACCTTGTGGGTGGACGTCCCACGCTGCGTTTTCCGGTACGTGGCCTCCACTCCAGAACCTTACTGCCCCATCGGCCGCATAAAGGTAGCAGGAAGGCGCTGGACGCAGGCCGCTACCAACCGGGCAACATGGAAAGCATTGGGAGAGGCATATGTTCAGCAGTGGACGTCATATCCTTCTAAGACCCCACGTACAAAATTTTGCACAAAATAAAATACCTCTGTGCAAATTTTTTGTACATATTCTGTAGAGATTTCTATTGTTTTTTCAAATATTCCCGCGACTAGTTTCACTCAAAATGACTTGATTAGTCTATATTGCCTATGGCATCAATGCCGCCAACCAAAAAACTGTCAAAACCAGCTGTGACGAACGAAGAAACATGCCGTTTTGCATGCGGCGGCCTCAAGCTAGAAGAAAGTCTCTGGGTCTGACAGCTATAAATTAATTTGTCCATAATTTTGTACAGTGGGTTTTAACGACTACCATGTTATTTCAAGTCTGGTTCTTAGGAGGCTATGGCTGAGATGATGATGATGATGAATTCGTTCGCGTTCCAGTCGGTGGAGCGCGGCGTGGCCGAATGCTCGCGGCTGGAGCAGGCGTACGCGCGCCGCCGCGAGCAGCTGGCGCGCACGCACGAGCGCCTCCGCGCGCTGCTGCAGCGCCACCGCGACCAGGTACACTATACACCACAAAATTTTTATCACCGAAAAAAATTTAACAGGTTATGTAGAAACGTGTGGAATATTGAAAGCAAAAGAAAAAGAAATGGTTTTCATGAAGTTAATTTTTTTATTAAATTTTCGTTAGTCCGTATTTTACACGTCACAGCTGGGTCACTCCGCTGCTCGCTAGGGTAGTCATACGCGCTCGCACGTTGCATCGATCTGTCTGTCTCGCTCACGCCTCGACCACGCTTCCAGTGTTATTATTACATACTTAGTTAACTTAGACCATTTTTAATTTTAATAAGTGTTACATTATCGTACTTAAATAGTGCTAGCGACGCGTGTGTCAATAAATTACCAATTTTAGGAGGATATTTTGAGTCACTTTATTTTACTCTTTTTTTGCACAAATGGGATCAGTATCAATAACTCATTACCCAGATTTTTTTTACGGTGATTAAAATTTACTGGTGTATAATACACATCCAATATACTCTGTTCTATCCGTGAGGCAGAGTACTCACCTGCCATGTAGCACGTAACGTAGCATGTAACGTAACCAACCTTCAAGTGAGTACGGCTCGTCCACGGTCATCGCGTATCTGGCTGCGAGCTCCTGAATCCTACTGCGAGCCGCCTTTGTGCTCGCAGTGATACCGCCAGTCGGCGGGTCGCTACGATCTCCCTGCGAACCACGCGCGAGCAGCGAGCAGCGGGCTCGTGCCTATGTACTCACTGATACAGTATCTGATACATTACATGCTACACGGCTAGATGAGTACCCTGCTTTACATAGACAGCGGGGCGCCACCATCAATACCGGATCGCTGGTTCTGATTTTTGCCATGTTGGAAACTATGTATAGTTGAACGATGGTGGCGTCCCCTTGTCAATGAGTTTGATGGGACAGTTCAGTTTAGGTCATCTATACTACACTTCCACCTATCGTGACGGTTGTAACGACTGTCACAACTTTAGTGTATCGGTACTGCAGTGACGTCCGCTTTCAATATAAAAATCTCTTATCGTCTGTAAAACTGATGTCAAACAACCCATTATTATAATGCGTCTGGTGTATTTCCATTGTCCCCCATTTGTGAAAGTTGAAAAGTTGGGACAAAAGATGGGAGACAATCGTACGAGACAGGAGACAATTTAACGTATCCCTAAATCACGGAATCATAACTTTTGTCATAATCTGGTTGAATTATGCCCGTTTTCACCATCAATCCCTAATTTTGTTTTCATAGGAGTCACTTAAAAATTAGGGATTGATGGTGAAAACGGGAATTAAGCTAGCAATTTTCACACCCACGAGCCAAACTGAGACAGCCGACAGAGACCTAAGTAAAGTATCGATCCCGGTCTCCGGCTTCGGCATGAATTCTTGACATATAATTTTACTAGCGGCCGCCCGCGACTTCGTACGCGTGGACCTCGTTTTACCCCTGTTAGATATTATGTTGATAGATGGCGTTTCACGGCTTCCCCCGCATGAATATTTACGAACATCAAAAACAGTAGTTTGCCCAGCGCTGTAGATTTTAACCAATGACGATAAATGGCACTTTTTAGACACGTCTTATTTATTTATTGAAATTTATTTGTCACATATCGTCATAAATTATAGCCTATTTGTTAATCTGTGTTATAAACAATAATACTGTAAAGTTTCAACAAAATCCGTTCTGTAGTTTTTGCGTGAAAGAGTAACAAACATCCAGACATCATGACATCCAAACTTTCGCCTTTATAATATTAGTAGGATTTGCTGTTGTTATTTAGACTAACGGGACAATTCCCACCTCTCGTTCCCACCACTGCAACTCCTGTGTAGCCAGGATCTACAGTTTGACCGCCACAATAACCCAACCAATGAAGGTCAAGTTTGTCTCGGGGGAAAGTTAAACTGTCATTGGACCCGCAACGAAATTAATCAGAAGAACATAGGAGGAGTTCGAAATTGATTTATTTAGACTAAACTAAAGCAAGCTCATCTCCACAGGAGCTGGTGGAGCTTGAGCGCGTTTGCGGCGGCGCGCCCGAGGGCTAGGCAAGTGCGCACGCCCGCTGGAAACTGTGATATTATCGCCTAAGGTGAGTCAAGCGATGGCTGGTTCACACGCCATGTCTGAACAGGTGCTGCCTTCGGGGACTGGTCAAGGAAAGATATACATAAAATATACAAGGTGGAATTTTGTAATGCCACCTGGAGGGAAAGTACTCTTAATACTGTAGATAGAAAATTTTACTGAAAGAAAACATTCCTTTATTTTTTAAAAGAAAGAGAACTGCATTCTCAGATTTTCGTTTTTTTTTCCAAATTTCATTACCATACCATACAATTTTCTGTACATAATTAAAATAATTTAAGATTTCAAGGTTTTCCTTTCATTTGATTTATCAAGTTTGTTAGAGATATTTCATCCTTATATTATTATCATTTAAACTTAACCCTAACGATCGAAAAAAAATACAGGGTGTAATTTTTAACAGGTTCGAATCCCGGGTGTGGCATGCAAATTTTTGGAAATCTTTGAATGCAGTTCTATTTCTTTTAAAAAATAAAGATAATTTTGATTTTAAGGCACGCGGGCCGCCCGTCCCGCCCCTCCTCGGTCCCTCTCGGAACCCGAGGTCACCTGATCAGCGCAGAACTAGACGCAAGCGCTTCCCGGCACCGGAGTGAGTTACCCAACCTTCCCGGCACAATTCAGTGGCCTGTTTAGTTGCCAGGACAAGACGTGCGTGACCATTGGGTCACTTATTGATCGAGGTGTACCTACACTTGCCGCGGTTATTAAATGGGAACATTGATCTTAGCGACACCACACTCCTCGTCAGTTGGTCCCGTAACCTCCGGCCGAACGCAAGTCCTGCTATACCGAAAAAGATCTATCCATGTTATTAGAAGTGCCTGTAATCATCTTAAACGTAATCTGTGTTGATCACACCCGGACCTCGACCCTTTCGTGCTACGTCTGCGTCGAATCTATACATATCTAAACCGCTACGTAATGGTTTTCGATACGCGTACCTTTGTAGGAACGTAGCGACTACCGAACTCAAATTGAGGATCTATTCTTATGATGTTTCCGAAATCTTTTCTGGTTAGTGAACATTTGATGCAGTTTTACCTATTATTTCTGTAATGTTAGATTTTACCGATCATCGTTCGCCCTATTGATACTTTGTTATGTGATAAATAGTTGTCTAATAATGTAACGTGTGGCACACTGATAGGTGTCGTTTAAATCGGCGTGGATTTTGTAATATTATTCTATATTTATCTCATTAAATGCAAATATGTATGTATGTACGTGTGGAGTTTTAAATATTTATTGTATACTCGTGTAGTGGTTTTTTTAATTAGCTCGATTGGATTGTTAAATAATAAACTAACAAATGTCAGTAACGGTAGGTTGTAGATTAACATTCCAGGTTATTTGCACAAAGATGTATCGTTTAAATTGGCCGGCGTTATTTCTAGAGTAAGGATCGGGTGTCGAATCAAAATGTAGTTTTAGATCGTTTGATAGACGACTCGCGGCTGTATCTGTAACGGAGGTTGAATGATTGTAATAAAATATAACGCCCGTTAGTTGATAGAATGATAGCACTTAGTCCTCGTTTACGGTTCTTTAGTGTTGCGATTTGTAATAGCAATAATTACCTTACCGAAGTTAGACCTGAAGCCTGCCTTCACCGCGGCGGGCCGGATCGCTTCTCAGTGCCTCTCGACTTCTTTTAAATATAACGTAGATCTTCGTAAATAGGATCTTAATTCTTCCAATTCACTGCCAAATAGAGTTTAATCAGTAATTTGCGTCCTTTTAATTTATTAATTTCATGTCTTATTTGTCTACGAGTGGCTTATAATTTATCTCAATTTTTAACTAAATAAATCGTAGTTATCTGCTGTATTAACGAACCTGTTACATTCATAATGGTGCTTTCGATTTCTAGGCTCAAAGTACTTATCGGTGAAATAATAATATTGTATTTAAACCCTTGTAATGAATAATAACAATATTTCTTTTCTCCATGCAGCTTTCGTTAGGTTTTGTATGAATTATTATGCTTTATAATCCATGATAGAGTAATTTTAAAATTAAATAAATCGGGTTTCTTGTCATAGCACAAACTCACAGTCATGTGTTTTTTTTAAGAATTCATCGCACTATGTGGTTTTCGAGTAAGTTCAAATTAAAGTAAGTTTCGGCAATAATTAATAATGCTACTAAACTAGAAATTACAATAAGATCCGTCTCTATCTGATAACGAAATTGCAATAACGTTCTTATAATGTAATTTATTTGATAGAAATTAAGATCTGAGAGTTCATGTTGATAGTTTTTCGCAATGATAACACCTTACTAACTAACTGTATGTGCCTTAAGTTTGTGCGTCGAGATGCTGGGAAGAATAGTTCATAGTGCGGACGGCAGCATATCAAGGTATAGTTTGTTTCGTCCACGAAGACGCGCCCCACCAATTTTTGGTCGAGGGAAGCGCGGGGTGCGGGGAGTTTGATCCGAACAATCCGAGCGTCATTATTGTAGTGTGCGTGTGCACTCATGGATGATTTAGCGTGTACCGATAACACTCAAACATTAGCGAATAATGGTGGGGCGCGTCTTCGTGGATGAAACGATCTATAAACAAATGTGACATCTTGTGTAGTATTAATAAGTGCTATTTTGGAACAATAATGTAGTCTGATGTGCTGTCGCTGTGCTGCTGTGAAAATAACAGAAGAGAATATTGCAATCAAGCGGTGCCAATTTTAATTAATGTGTAAATTGTGTAACGTCAAAAGCCAAATATCCGCACTGTATAAAAATTGTCTTGCCTATTTGATTGACGTATTTAACAGTATTTAAATGGTTTGTTTCTATGCAAAAGATAAGAAATAATTAAATTGAATGAACTGTTTACACAAGACAAAAAATGGTACCGTGTTCAATGTTATTTCAGTGATAATAGTTACTGTGCATGTTTATTTGCTGGCAGTTAATTAACCTGCTATTTAAAATACTACAACGTAATATAATGAGATCTAATGGTTAATTAGTTTTTTTTCCTTTATTTGTAATCAATGAGTTTTCGCGTATGAAAAATCCGCCAGATAGCATTTGACTGCTTATTTTTGACATAACATTGACAGATATGTCAAAATCCACCAATCACGCAGCAGTCAGACCCCACATTCACGTCCCGCCATCTAGCGGATCTTTCATACGCGAAAACCATCATTGGAACGTACACGTACGACGAACAACTCAAACGCGAAAAACTATCTAAAATGAATTTATCTAACAACAAAACAGTGCAATAATATCTTATGACTCGGCTATCGCTTCTATACGACTTATGTGTTTTCCGTACCGATATACAAGAACTTAGTACTTAGTGACACATAGTTGCAAACGGTAGGTAAACTTTAGAGCATTACATTATATTATCATCATTTGAGCATCTTGTAAGGATCCTTCAAAAATATAACTTAATGTAGGCATGTATTGTTTTTTGCATTTCTATTGTTATAAGTGCCATAATTTGTCGATTTAGCAGTTCTCTCCGTAGGGGTAGTAAATAGGTAGTGTAATACAAAATTGTGTTTACTATTTTGGACATAGAGGAAATACGACTGGATGGATGGTTTACGATTGGTTAATTGACTGTGGAAATCCAGGCATTTTGAAATTTATGCATTCCGGTTCTAAAATCCTTAATTTACATTAATAAGTAATGTTTTATGAACATAAGTTGTAACCCTAAGTATATGATTAATATGATTATAATGGTAGAGGCGGAGTTTCAAAAACTGTATATAACATGTGTATGTTTACGAGCAGAATTAACTAATCGCAAACGATTCCAAGTAAAAAATGTAAAAGTGAAACAGGGAAGCTTTTTCTATCTCCTATTTGTATTTGTCGATCTATCTAAACTATACTAAAAAATAATAATAAATAAAAATGTATTTATTGCCTTCGAACCATTAGACTACCATACTAAAAGGTGTTACGATTAAAGTTACGCGTAGGTGATACTGCTAAGTCCGTGAATCCCAAGTGCTTTGGTTGGGCTGAGCCCACTCGCGGTTTTGTACTCGGGAGTGTGTCGATGTTTGAACTTTGATGTTACTTCGTAAATAATTAGGTTTGAATCAAAGCCTTAATCAATATATTATACTCGTAGTGGAGCGTGCTTCTAGAAGTGATTATCGATATTATATCGAATGTGGTTTGAATGCTATATTAGATTGTTAACATCACTCGACATTACCCAATGAGCTTAAAGTCATTATGTACGCAATTTAACTTATTACTGATTTACACGAGGGAGGTTTATTGTTCATTTGCTGAAGGGCGGGTTGTTAATTAAACATTTACTCGCTAGTCTGAAAGAAACTACATACTGGATTCTTGCCATCATAAAAAATCGCATATTTGCAAATTGTAACCGCAGCAAATGTACTAATATAGAATACTATAGTACATTTATAATCTCGTAGTCCGTATTTTATATGGCCAAGCCCTCGTCTCGTGGCACAAATTCCGTTAGTATGTATGTTAGATAGTTAATCTGTGTTGACGTGTAGAATTACGGTATGTGGTCACACATCGCCTTCTTGCCTTGAGTAAAATAACGTGTATGAAGTATAATATGCTACATCCTTTAGGTCTACAGTGTAAAACCGCCTTTATTGCATGTCTCGGCATTTAGGCTGGTTTTAGGCTTGATTTCCTTTTAGGCTGACATCGGTGACCGACGTCAGCGGTGCGCACGATTACACACTAGTTCTATGTAATCATCTGCCGCTGACGACAGCGTTGCAGTGCGATGCTTCATAGAACATTGTGTTTATTCGTACGCTCGACCGATGTATGCGATCGACGTCAGCGTAGGAGGAAATCAAGCCTAAACCCGCCTTAATGAAGCATGAAACTTTTGAATCGAATCAAAGGGAGGCCTAAGCGTATTCTTTGTTCGGTTCTGTAGTGTGTTGCGATGAGATCAATATCACCGAATCACAGAATAGTGACAGAAAAATGCACGCGTGTGTTGTAAGAAACTGAAGATTATTTAGTGTGTAAAAATATCTAATCGAAGCCAGAATCTACACAATCTGTATATGAAGCCAATTTCGCAATAACAAGAACTTTTAGTATCGGCTTCGTTAGGTTTAATTTTACACTGTGTTTTAAAATAAGAAATACCTAGAGTACAGGTTATTTGAACATTTTGCCCCAGTATTGCCCCAATAAATATCCTTCTTAAAAATTGTAATGGAAACTACATAATATTATAATAACGTAGCTGTAGGTCCAAGTAAAGTAATGCATGTTAATCAATCAGATATAGAGATGGCCATAATATTAAAGTAAAATACTAAGACACTGATGAAGTTCTAATACACACTCAAGAGATCGCACCGAACTATTTTTGTGCTATAGTGGTTCTTGCACGAAAATGTATTGAAACTAGTTAGTGTGCATCTAACGATATGGTCTTCATATTCGATTACAAGTAAGTACACGTTACGTAAGCATAAAGGCCTTGTTTGACAGAAAGCGTGCTGTAAAATAAATCACTGAAAATATCGGTCTATTCCACTTTGATCACCTGGTTTTGATCACCCAGGTGAACCAAGTGGACTCCAGGCGATCACCTATAGATATAAGATCACCTATGTGATCAAAGTGGACTACTTATCCATGGTTGATCAAAGGACACCAAAGTGTCGCCTTGATCACCTGGGTGATTAAAGTGAATTTCTTATCCATGGGCGATCAAAGGACACCAAAGTGTCGCCCGGAGTCCACTTTGATCACCTGGGTGATCAAATCCAGGTGATCAAAGTGGAATAGACCAAAATATCAGAAATATTTTGGTGATTTATGGAAGAAGTCACCATCTGCTACACAAATTTCGATACGAATGAGATCTGCCTTCACAAAAAATCAAAACGTGTCGTAAATTCACATCATTCACGCTTTCTGCCCGTCAATTCTTTATGCGACGCATTTCTTTGAACAGTTGTTGCATTCGGACAACTAGGCGTAAGGATTAATTCTTCGATGTAGTGCACGATCCCACTGCAGCTTCGCTCGTATGGCTCGCGTTCCTTGAGAGAATTCGAAGAGAATTTTCTTGAGTATAACGACTTTTGTAGGAAGCAAGGGTCTATTTACATGCCATCTATCTATTCGTTTCGGCCGCGAACGCCCAAGGCCTTTGGGTGGCGGGCTTATATGGAAATGTGTCAAGCTCGTCACTCGAATTGCAATGGAGGGCCAGGCAATTAGTTTAGGTCGAACTATCTTATATCTCTTTCAAGTTTGGGTATCCGTCTCTGTTCTGATATGTCTAAATATAAATTAGTTTTTCATAAAACTATATTTTTATCGATACAAATCTTTTGGACGTTGCAAAAGATGAAATATTAGTCATATTTTTAAATTTAAAAACCACGTATACTTCAATATCAGAATGGAGATACATCTGTCATTTATTTTGTATTGTATATTATGTAGATACGATATATTTAATGAAAAATTTATTGTTGAAATATCTTAATACATTTAATATTTTCTAATGAATCTACTCTTGTTGAGCCTTTATGCTTTAATGCTTTGTAAATTTTATTCTATCCATGTGTATCATATTTTTTCTATATTTTACACTGTTATTGAAATGTTGTGGGATTTTAGAAAACTTTACATGATTAAGTAACACAAATTAGTTTGCTGTCTGTATCACAAATAGATAAATTCCTAAGTTTTGATACTGTTATAAGACTTGCATGAACTGCTTTTATATTTTATATATTTTTTGTCACTAGTTTTCTGTGTTTACTTTTGATTAACTGTTGCCTTAATTGATATTCTGAATTACTTTAATTATTTTCGCGTATCTACCCTCGTAATTAAGTATTCCTAGCTAGTTTCTAAGATAGGTATCCAACCCCGCTTGTGATGTGGTCTCCCGTCATTGCCTAGAATTAGAACTGCCACGATTCAGTTTGGCCTCACAGGGAGTAAGAATCGTTTAACTATTTTAAGGATTTGAAGTTATTTCCATATTATATTTTCAAAAGCAGCAATCACCAATTTATTTTTCTATAATCTATCGCAGCTATAGAACGCTATAATAAGTGCCAAGTTGAGACCGACATTAGCAAGCGGGGC